CTACACCTATGCCAGGTTCTAGGCATGCATGTAGTAGCTTAAATCTCATGCTACATGGGTGCGGATAATTAAAATGAGGTTCTAATGTGCGTTCAGTCTCATAAAGATCATGAGATCTGTTAAACATTTGAACTTGTCAGCTGATTGTTGACTATTCTGATATGCCATTGTTTTATTCTTTGAATATTATTTCTCCTACACTGGAATTGTCTGCTCTCACCCTGTTCTAACAGTCTCTTTTTCTCTGAGTTTTCACTCAGAGTGCTGCTTAGCACCAGTTCTTCATATTCCTCGACTCTGCCTGTCAGGGCACAGCCCCTGACCCCACACACCCTCAGGCACCCTTCCCCCATTTTCCTCTTCACTATTGCACGATGCCACATGCATGCAGACCTGTGGTAAAGTTCTGGGCAAGTTACCTGCCCAGAAACCATCACAACCACAACTGTGGGAACTTTCTGGGTGAGCAGCTTGCCCAGAATCTTCCCAGGGGGTGGGGGGGGTGCCAATTATGGAAAGTCAGCAAAGAGCTGAAAACTGTATAGTTCCCAGTTTCCATTTGTAGTGGCTTCACAGGAGGTTGAGAAGGTTACCCTTCTTCTCAACTCTGTCATATCCGTACATACCCGATCCTGACCCAACTTCCGGACCCTCCTCTCCACCACCTCTGGAGTCCTACCCTACCTCCATCTGCTCCGATATCCACCTTCAGGCCAAACATCACACCTCCTTCTCACTCCTCATGTCGCCTCCTCCCCTTCCATCCCTCTCTACCCTACTTCTGTCTGCTCCGATATCCACCTTCGGACCTGACACCATTCCTCCTCCCACTCCTCTCCCCACTCCTCTCATCACTCTCCTCCCTCCAGCCCTCTTCTGCCAAACCTCCACCAAGTTACGACCTTCTGCTGCCATCCCATACCTTCGCTCTGAGACTCCATCATGGTCCCAACCTCGGACTTTGACCCCACCTCGGCTTAAGTCCATTGCATTGGTGACCTCATTCCACATAAATGTCATATCCATACCTACTCCGCCTAACCTCCAACCTACTCCACCACCATTCTGGTTCACCTCCGGTTTGTCCTCTCCCTCACCTCTGCCATACCCTCCATATACCTCTGGTCCACCTCCACTGTTACGGGGATGGGGGAAATTCCCCATTCCTCGATCCGTTCTTATAGTGGGATGAGTGAGGTCATATCTGGTCTGTACCATAACAGGATATGTAATCGATGAGTGATCCCAGTCTTGCCTGGGGGTGGACGATCGAATTCCCATCGATCGCGATTGGTGATGTAGTGAACTATTAAGGGATTGATGGTAGGTAGTCGGAGATGCCAGGACGGACGGGTCAGCCACGGGTACTTGGCGCTCCTCAATGGAGCGTACCGTGTGCGAGGTCGTGACTTGTGAGATGGGTGAGAACTTCATATAGTTGCCATTGGGTACTTGGCGTTCGCAGTGCGAACGTACCGGTAGCGGGTTGATATCATAAGCATGCAGTGAGGATTGACTAGCAGGGCCTTCGGTGACTTGGCGTTCCCAAAGGGAACGTACCGTTGGCGGGGAAACATGATGACTGGCGAAGGAGGGAACAGACGGTGGATGGGCGGCGACTTGGCGTTTGCGTAGCGAACGTGCTGGCATCACGGGAAGATGGGCCTCAAAGTATTCACGATCTCCAAGATCGTGAGGTGACGTCGTATGTTGAGTACTGGGGGGAGAGCGGAGTGATGAAGACCCATAGGGTACAGATTCAGTAGGACGATACACATGTCGAGAGTCTTCGACTCTCGACCTCGAGTTCTCGCGGCGAGGGCCGTTAGAGGACTCGATATAACCAGACTTATAAGACATATTGAGAGTTGTACAGTCACACAGGTTCAGTTGAGTCACAGGGAGGGTTGTTACAGAAGACGGTACACGAGACAGTTGTAGAGCAGTTGTTAGTTAGCGGGAACCGCCTTCGGCAGTTTCCGTACAAGACGCATGACTATCTACAAATGGTAAGGTCGCGGGAAATCCCGCGAAACACAAACAACCTCGGCCAGCACCAAAACCCCAATGGGGAAAGCTTTGCACGAGGGGGGAAAGGGGTAGAACGGGTAAGGAGGATAGGGTATCGGGATAGAGGATGGAAGGGAGAAAGAGGGGAGGAGCGATAGAGAGGGGAAGTCTTTGACCATGTGACGGATATGGTCGTTGGAGACTCCGTATCCGTAACATCCACCTCCAATCTCCAGTACCTTCTCCGGTACCTCTTATCCTCATCTTAGACATTTAATAATATTTCTACCTACCCAATATTACTGCAGACCTCCTAGGACCTCCACCAACCCCACAAAGGGTTTCCCACTTTCTGTCAGGGCACACCCCACCTGACCCCACGCCGTGCCGCCCTACTCCGCTTCCCGCTATCACCCTTTGTCTCTTCTTTCCCCTTTTCCTTCTTTCTTTCTATTTCCATTCCATGGTCGACTTCCCCTTCTCTATGTATTACTAACACACCTAACCCCGCTCCCCTGATCGCTGCACCCGCCACGTGCATTCCCGCTCACAGAGCGGCACACCTCCGGGATCTCCCACGGAGATACCCAGGGGAGTGCGGCTGTGTGCGGGGATGATGTGGCTCCTCCCACGTGACCCCGACTGCATGTATATAATAGCACCTGGGGTGGGAACAGAAGAAGCAGCCTTCTTCTCAACTTCCCACTTCAGGTAAGTACTGTAGCTTCCCCCTTTTTAATGATAACCAACTTCCCACTTCAGACTAAGTGGTCGGGGACGCTCACCCTGCAACGGGACCGTCGCTACGCATAGCCGACACCTGTCCCATCGAGTCCCTCGCGCCGGGACCTCACCACTTTTGGAGCTGTCCCTGACACTTTCCAATAGCTGTCGCTAATTCCACCCTTCACCTACCCACTCCACAATGCTCGATAAGGCGATAAGGTGATTCTCTCATGAGCTCGCCAACCCAGCAAGTGGGTAAGTCCCTCTTGGTTTTTCCCTTTGTTCCAGTTTGTCTTGTATTATGTATATAGGTCATGTACTGTAGTTGATGGCACCTCAGTGCAAAATCGACAATAACGACTATTCCCCCAGAGTTCACACCCCCCCCCCCCATTCTGAAATTGAGGACCAGACACTAAGCGTTATTGAACATAGGCACAGCACTCCCCTACGAGTCACTGAGGCCACAGTCCCTCTGCCCATCCTCCATCTCCAGCTCCCTTCTGGGGAAAGGCCCAGGCATGCTGCCCCTCCTCGCCGTGTCCTGACAGGAACAGAAGAAGCAGCCTTCTTCTCACTTTCCCACTTCAGACTACATGGTTGGGGATGCTCACTGTCAGAGACCAGGTTCGAGACGAAGGAAAGTCTCTGTGGCAGAGGGCTTCGGCCTCAGCGACTTATGCCAAGAGCGCTGTGCCTAGTGACACGTCCGTGCCCTAACTTACTAACTGGCAATTAGAACTGAAGGGGGATAACTCTAGTCGATTTTATTACTGAAGTGTAACCTATGTACAAGTTGGATATATATATGGTTACAGCGAAGACGGGTCCGCAAATGGCGGAGCCGAATGGAGCGGAGCTAACGGGGTTAAACATTAGCCGACTGAATATTACCAACGAGTCGGGTCACGGGGTTAGTGGAAAGGCAGGCGATAACCCAGAAACGGAAAGGAGGGATAGGCCCGAAGGTGGGCTCTGCAGGGCAGGTGAGTGTATTGCCCAGCGGAGGTGGGAGTGCGCTAGCGGACGTCGGAGCTGTCCGGAAGTCTTTGGGGCTCCGTACTTGGGAGGCATAGGTAATAATAAATTGAAAGGAGGGAGTGGTGACCATCGAGGGGTACCGAGAGGATTGCGGAATTTGGGAGCTCCGAGGTTAGTGAGGAAGGAGCGGAGGTAGACTGGAGGGATCGGAGGGATCGGAGGACCAGAAGTCGATGGCTGGGGATGGATATGACACTCACCCCATAATTATTATGGGACTGCCACTACACATAGCTGCTTCTCGTCCCATCGAGTCCCCTGCACCAGGACTTTGCTGCTTTTGGAGCTGTCCCTGACAGGGAGGTACTGGGGGTATGGAGGTCCAAAGGAAGGACAACTGGAAGTCCAGAGGTAAGGATTGGAGATATGGAGATCCAGATGGAAGGGTAGGGAAAGGTAAGAGGAAGTATGATTGATTAACAATAATCATAATCATCATGGTAGTAACCTTAGTCTACTCACAATACATCCGGGGCAGGGGGTCCCAAGGGGTTCTGGAGGTAAGAGGTCCAGAGTCAAATATAAGGAAGTGATGATGAGAGATGGAGGTTCTGACAGCTTCATCAGTAGTCCACAGCACTCATCAGAACAATGGCCGAGGTCCATAGGAGGTACAGAAGTGGGGAGGGTACATGGGGCAGAGGAGAGTTGGGGTAGGAAGGAGACTTAGGCTTGTAGGCATCAACAGGAGAGGGTGGAGCTGGCTAAGGGGGTTGGTGGTCGCAGCATGAGTCATCTGAAAGCAGGATGGATAGGGGATGGAAGGTCTGGGATATGACATAATTAATTTACTTTGATTACACAATATAAATTTCGTTCACACAAGTGCAGAGTCCTATCGAGGGAAGCGAGCACTCTAGTGTATGACTCTGTGCTGAGTAACATCTTATAATAATTATTTCACATGCAGCAATGAGGATGCAGCATCTAAATGCAAACCTGCAAGACAGGCATGGCCAAGTACAACATATTTCGTATTTGTGTTCATGAACAAAAGAACGATGATGCAGTGTCTCATGATTGTCAATGAACATGACAAGTCTCAGGTGAGAGAAAAATAGGATATTGGTCGTATTTGTGTTCGTGAACAAAAGAACGAAGATGTAGCATAATAATAATACAGATCTCAGATCACCAAATATGGACAATGTGAAATACCTCTTTCATTTAATGCACCTCTTTGGGGTAACTTCCCTGGTGTGCTTCCCCACCTCCTCACCATCATGTCTGCGATCATTGATGAGTTGATCGACCCTCTCCCAGCAGCAGCCACAATTCCGCCATTTGACATTGACAACCCCCAGGCAGAGGAGGGGTATGGATCTGTCACGCAGGATGTCATCGCCAGATCATTGCTGGGATCGAAGACTTCCTCGAGTGAGCCAGAGCGGGAGCGCTACTACCGCAAAGCAGCTCGATCCCTACCACTGAGCATGCTGCAATCGCTCTACAATGGGGGTGAAGGTGCAAAGGCCTTTAGCCTTCTGAAGAGAAAGCTGGCATTGAGTGTTGATGTCGACATGTATGAGCCAGGTGGCTCACCGCGCTTCACCCACATGATGGCAGGCCATCACATTGACTTTTCTCTTAAAGTTCCTGATCGTGTTGGGTTTGACACAATTCTCCCAACAACTCGTGCACATACTTCCTGGTGCTTCAACCTGAACCTCTGTGGTTCAGTACGCGAATTCCTAAATCACCGCGGTGATCTTGGGTTTGACCCCACAGCGCGAATGCTCCACATTGGCACACAAGACCATGACAATGTGTACCTGGCCATGGCACCTAAAGCTTCCTGGATGGCACCGATGACCCAGTTGCACCAGGCACACATTCTGGGTCTACCCTCATGACTAGGTCACATGTGCGAATGGCAACATGTATCATTCTGTGGGCTATGGGCAGGATTCGCAACAGAGACTACTCCACCAGGGAAAATGTCTATGTTGGGCTGGATGGCCCACTCCAACAATACACAGAAGTCACAGACTGGGTGTATGCAGATATATTTGATATATTCATGTCACTAACCTCAAGCTTATAGGTTGAATCAGTCCGGCAAGGCTATGTTGCGACTGAATGATGTGCACTCAATGCACAACACGCTGATCAACAGCTATGAATCAGACTTTGTTCATAATGCCCCAATGAGTGGAAGGATGAATCCTGGTTTTCGCAGTCATTGCCTCTCATCATCACCATGAAATATGGCCAAGACCTGGAACTGGATACAGAAGACCTTGAGAGGACCATCACCAATTTCGATGAAAGGCATTCATTTGAACATATCTCGCGCTGGAGTTTTGCACTTGCCAGCCACCTTCGGTGGGCCATTTCCCCAAGCAATCTGTTTATTTTAACCATCTACTTTCATAGTGCGAGAGTGGTTGAGCATACAGAAGCGATCAGTCCTACTGCCATTGTAGCAACATATGGTGAAGTTTTCGATGAATTTAGACAGCGAATCGATGAGTTAGAAGACCTTCCATATGAAGATGAAGATGGCAATCCAATCGAGATTTATGACACCAATGGAAACATCATTCAGAGGAAGACAGCTTTCTTTCGAGAGGAGGACCCCACTGGGGGAATTCTTATCAAATTGGACAGTGTCCATGCAATGTTTGATCGCATCTATGGGAATCATCGGCAATCTGATCCACACCGCACTGGCAATGTTGTCACAAGGATTTACCCACAAGCCTTCATGACTTCCTTTGGTCATGTCCAATCTACTACTGTCTTTCCCGAATTCCACCAGACTGCCCAGTCAGTCAATAGGCAGTTGTTGTCACAACACCGAGGCAGAGGAGTGGCAGAAAATGATGATGACGATGAGTTTTTCCGATCCGAGTCATCATCGTCTGAGTCATCATCCTCAGATGACAATTATATGCCCAGTCCTTCAACAATTGATGGTGTCCGAGCAGCACAAAACCTTATGCAGCAACATGCAGTGGAGCCTCTTAAAGGGGTATTTTTCCAAGCATACAACTTGCTGCAACATCGTATCGCACGACGGTCAGGGGATGCTGAAACCATGCATGGCACAGTCACTGCAGCCCTTGCTGGGCACCATGCCCAACCCCATGAACGTGCTACAGTGGAAAGACACCAATCATATGTGGACATTGGGATGCCGTTTGATCGGATGAAAACAAAACTCACCTCAGACACAATTCTGCCACCAACGGATCTGCGTCTAGAGAACTACTGGATGGTCAATTTTGCAGGGATTGCGAAGGAGAAACGGACTGGACGGTAAGTGTTAATACCATCCCTGTCATTAAATAATTATTACTTATATTATTATTATTATGCTTTCCTAACAGATGGGTATTCAATCATATCATCACTCCCCTCCTGGATGCTTGGGTCGAGCCAACCTTGATAGAGAAACTCAAGCAACACACTGTCATCTTCAAGCCCCATGTATGTGCTATCACCCTGATGTTCTTGAAAACATGTCTCATTTGTAGGATGGGAAATCAGTTCCTTCAACGTGTGTACCTCTGGACTACCTATCCATTGTTTTGGGCAGTCGACCATATATATCAATGTGACAAAGCACAGCGCTCACAAGGCCACAAACCCGACCCATTACTGCGGGAACTTGTTGCAGCACTTGAGCGTGCTGGAAGCTTTGGGTTTTGTGGTGCAGGAAAGGTCTTATCGACCCAAACAATGGATCCACTCCTTCTGTCGATTGGGATCAAGGAAACTGGTTTCCCTTGCCTGAGCGAAATGATTGGGTTCAATGCAGAAGCTGATGAAAAGATCAGAATCAATGCCTCCCAATGGCCATGTGATGCAGATGGGATCCCACGGTTTGCATCAAAACGAGTGGTACTCTTTCATTATTCTCAGGGAACCTATGATGTAAGTTCCTTTATCAGAGCACCCACTCCCTCATCATATTATCGTTTGCATGCTCGCGAACACCAAAACGATATTGGGCTCTTGCCAGGGGGTCCAGATCATTTGATGTTGGTGTTCCGATAATTATGCAGGTGGACACTTCTGTTTTAGGGCCTGAATCGTTGTTGAGTTCGCGAACACAAATACGATCATGAAGCTTTGGACAAATTAGATGATGGACCTGAATCGTAGTTGTGTTCGCGAACATGCAAACGATTTTTTGGCCAATCGAACAAGCATACTCACTCACACTCAAACCTTTTTTTCTCTCCAGAAATTGGTTGCCACATGCTTCATTGAACATATCCAAAAAGGCATCAAATTCCTTGCCCCAGACACATTGTCTACCCAGATGCGGACAATCTGTTCACTTGCATCCTATGCTGTTGATTCACTTGAGAAGGATGCCTTGTATGCAGTTGAGAAGGGCATCAAGGATTCCATCAAGGGTTTATTCCCTCATGCTGACCGCGAGCAACGCCACTGGCTTCGTCAGCAAGCAGAAGGGCTCAAGACGCTCTGTGCATCCTTGCACCCATTTGACAACTCTAAAGAGGCAACACAACAACTCCTCCTTGCCCTCTGCTCATCACCTCAGGCCATCCATTCAGCACTCAAGAATCTCCCTAAAATGGACGTGCATGAATGGGTCAGGCACATATATGCAATGGTTTCTCCACCTGCACCCCATGTTCCAGGATCATCACGAACTCTACCACGTTTGGGTGCCCCTTTCTTCCGGCAAGGCTCATCAGCTGTCATCTTCACTCAGGTGTTTGATGCACTCCGTGAGATCTGTGATCAATCTGACTGGCGTGCCCAGCGTGATTTCTGTGTTGAGGCCATTGTGGCTGAAATGGCGTCCCATCGCATCTTTCGCTACCCCATGTCTGGCATAATCCTGCCACCAGGAGGCCAACCATATGGGCACAGTATCACTCATGGACAGAGTTAGTTTACCCTGATGGCAGAATGACTCCACCCCCTGATCCCACCATGATTGACCCCCTTCGCCTTGCTGCTCACATTGCCAGTACCCAGATCACTGAGAACAATCCTCAGTCATCCTGGAACAGGAGTGAAGTAAAGCTGTCTGACCTTCCCTGGATAATCAAACGAACCCGGCTTCCTCATGACTGGATTTGCAGGGAGAATATGGGGGATGCACTCACTCAGACACTCACTACCTGGCTTCAGAACACATACAACATCTCTGATGCAAGGTTTCACTTGAGTCTAATTGCTGCACTTATCCTCACAGCCTGGGCACCAAACCATGGCATCAAGCACCAAAAGGATGAGGTTCCCATCAAGGTGGCCAAGAATGCCAACATGGTGGAGTATGCAAGCACACTTGCATGGGAATGTGAACGTGGGCGAGCAGGATGGGTGGCAAAGGCACCACTCTTTCACTTCTGGTTGATCTTCATCTCAGGTGTTTTGGTTGAGAACAGCCCCTGGTGGCAGCTAACCAATGAGAAACTTGAAGTAAAGTCAACCAGGGTACAGAATCGAACAGATGCTCAACTTGCAAATCGGGACATCCTAAAGAATTTCCAGACAAAGATTCGTAAGTTCACCTTTCTGCCTATTATAAAAAGGGAGCAACTGATTGATTTTCTCAGAGCATAAGGGTCTCTATGTTTCAGTGCTCTGTCGCCTCAATCTTGTGGCAGCTCACACACCCAATGCATTCAAAAACCCATGTTATTATAGGAAAGACTGGGAGCTTCATAGCTTGCATGAGCTTGAATCCAGTGTGGCAACTGTGACAAAGCATCTGGCTGCACCTGCAGAGCGGTGCCCAGTTTTCTGTGCTGTGAGTCACTTTCTGGGGGACCAATGCCGCAGTATGCATGCAATGGAAGGATTCCAGGCACCACCTTCAACCATTTCTCTTCAAATCCCATCCACTTAGGTCGCAGAGCTTCTGACCAATCCCTTCGAGCTGATTCAGAATCTTCATCAGAGGAGAATGGCTTCAATGCAAGGGCTCATCCACGCCCTCGGAAGCGGACACGTGTAGAGTAGAGTGCAACATCTGTGCCCCCTTTGTTATAAAAATGGGAATTTCCCACTATCCAGTGTAGGCCAGTTATTTGCAGCATCTCCATGGAGGAAAATCTGACTAAAAAATTCATGTATTCTACAATTTTCTGGATATTTTTTGACTTATTTGACCAAAATTTCCTTGTTTTCCATGGAAGTCTGTAAGGGATTAACCTTACTTCACTATAATTCCAATTATAGTGATGCTGTTATTTCTTTATTTATTTGTGCCGAGATATGTAATTTACATATATATACCTTGGAGTAGTTGTAAAGGCCTGGTAGCCTTTTACCTCTACCCCATTGAATATACAGCCCATCAAAGCTTATGTTTAGACAGACCTACTGAGGCCTGAGGCGAATGGGGGAACGGAACGTTGCCATCCCAAAATAGTAAGCAACCCTTCACTTTTTTAAGCTAGTTTCCTTTTACAATCTCGGCACTGTGATTGGTGACAGAACCCTACTGTATCCCACATGCATTGTCTACCCTGACAATGCACATTTGCGCCTAGTTCTCATGCACAAATCACATGTGCACCGTTCCTAGACGCATGCTCACCTAGGCTGTGCCTCAGAGTAGAGGCAAACCCTCCCAATCTCAGGATCTGGGAAGCCACCATGACACCAGTGCCAGATCCCCATTTGGCAACCGACACGTCGTTGTCCCTGATGTCACACACATTCAATCAAGGTTCACACCAGAACTTTGATCTTACTTCCTGATGCTCACAACCAGGAAGTTCCAGACTCGCACCCACATGGCTGGCCCTTCCTCCAGTCCCATGGTGGGAGTCGACACCACTCCATCTGGAAGTGGTGATTTGGGCCTGCAAGGGCCCAGCAACATGTCATATGCATCGCACCATCTCAGGAGATGCTGAACCTGTCACAGCATCTCAATCCCACTTGGCATCTGTCCTACTGCCACCTTTGCATTCACATCATGGGCCCACTCTCCCTATTTCAAGAGCGCATGAGTATTATGTGAACGCATCAACAAAGTCAGAACTGGCCTTGCAGCTTGAAAGCCAACATCCCCCAGTTGGAAGTCAGTGGTTACCACCTTGACCACTGCCATTGAGGATTTGATAAGAAAATCGATGAATTCTATTTGCACTCAATCGATGTGACAAGCCAAAGCTGCAGACAAAAACGCGAGTTGACCCACCCGTGGCCACTCAGGCCTGACTTCCCTCCCCACTCACTTGCACACTGGAGAGGCATACTGAAACTTCCCTTCCACTCAGTTTGGGATGGAATAGCCATCTCCTAGCACTGTAGAGCATGAACACATGGAGCTGCCCAGTGCTTTGCTGGGCAAAGTTCTCAATGACTCTCCTGCCCCAGTGGGAGCCAAATGTCGATCTAGCGTTGCTCTGGAGGCCCAAACGACTTGTTTACCATCGGTTATAGATGGAATCAGCAGCACTTCAGCTGCTGCCAAGTGCCAGCTCATAGATCTGGAAGGCTGGCCCTTTCCTTGGAAAGGGCTTCTCTCGATTGTTCACTTCATAGTGAACAGGCTGTCCCACCAGCGGACAAGCCGCCCCCAACAAAAAACCTGTGTCTGAATGATCAGACATGCTCATTCCTGCCCAGTTTCATGGGCAATGCTTCCATTCTGTTGCTCTTGTGGACAGAATGACTTCTTCACTCTCCTAGATGATTATCTAGGGAGGAGCAGGTCGCTGCTCAGACCTCTGGCCCACATTCAAGTGTGGCGGAAATTTTTTCTTATTTTTTTTAAACCTAGATCCCTAGGTTGAATTTTCAACTACTCCCCCAGACAACTGTCTAGGAGGAGAAACAAACCTGTGCCACTCTTTAGTGGTTGCCTTTGTGGGTCAGCATCACGCTGACTCATATCAAACTATTATTTTACTCCCAGACAACACTCTAGGGAGTGGCCTCAGTGACCTTTGGAATCACTGGCCATCACTGGGTATTGACCTTCGGTGAGTTACTTCCATCACTGTCAGGGATGGTACAGGAGAGGCTGGGGTAGCGGCCTGGGTGGCAGCGGAGTAACGGGAATGTATCGTGAGTGGCCCTCACTCGGGCTCGCATCCCTGTCTGGCTTCTTAGGCTGAAGCAGTGGTTGTTATTAGAATGAAAGGCTAAACTAAACTAAGCTAGACTAAGGCACTTGCCTGAAGCAGTAATGAGAAGAAGGCTACTTCTTCGGTTCTGCTTCAGCTCGGTTTATATACAGGTGGGAACAGGTCATGTGGGGGTGCCATGTCAGCCTGGGCAGGGCTGGGTGATTGTGGGTGGCTCCGCAGGTAATCCCGAGTGTTAGAGGAGAGAGGTACAAGTGAGGGTGTGTGGCATATCCGGCGGTGCAGTACCCACATGGAGTACTCGGTGTCGGACATGTCCGTGCTACACAGGTAAGAGGAGAGGTCATCTGTATACAGAAACAAAGAAACAAAGAGAGAAGAAAGGGAATGGAAGGAGGAGGAGTGGGAGGGTGCAGTGCAGAGCAGAGTGGTGTGCCCTGACATCACCCCCTCCTTAAGCCGCTTCGCCTCAAAGTGGCCAGGGGGTTTTCTCGCTCCCTGCCCCGGCATCTGGGTGTGCTCTGTGGAACTCCTCGATCTGGTCGCACATGTTGGCCAGGTTTCCACAGGGGAGCCACTTGTTCTTGGAGTTTGGCCAGCCTGTGAACTTCACCAGATACCAGAGCTTTCTGCGCACCAGCAGGAGTTGAGGACCTTCTCGACTTTGTACTCTTCTCCTCCATCTACAATTTCAGGGCCTGGGCGAGGGTCGGTGGGTCATTTGGCAATCCCATCTGGCAGTAGGGCTGGACGTTTGTTACTGATACCACTGGGTGGACTCCCCTTTGTTGTGCTGTGAGCTGGAGTTTGACGGTAGCAGGGGATATGACCTTAAGGATTTTGAAGGGGCTGGTCCATTTGTGGTCTAGCTTCTTGGTTGGGTGGTCCATGGTGTAGTTTTGGGTGCTGAGCCAGACTTGATCGCCTACTTTGTACTCAGGTGCTACTTCTCGGTTTCAGTCATAGTAGTGGGCCATTTCTCTGCCGCGTGCTCCAGCGCTGCCTTCGCCTCTTCCTGCATTTTCATCAGTCTCGAGGTGAATGCATCTGTGGCTTCGACTTCTGATGCATGCATGGGTTCCATCCCTGTCCTGGGGTGTTGGCCTGTGTCGAGCTCAAAGGGGGTGCAGCAGGTCGATGTGTGGATGCAGTTGTTATGGGAGAACTCCGCTAGCGGGAGCCAGTCCGCCCAGTCATCCTGGCAGTGGTTAACAAACACTTGGAAGTAGGCTTCTATCTCCTGGTTCACCCACTCCATCTGTCTGTCTGTCTGTGGGTGGTAAGGCACCGAAGGGGTCAGTTTGACTGCTAGTAGGGCCACTAGCTCTTTGGAGAACTGAGAGACAAAGGCACTCCCTCTGTCACTGAGAATCTCCTCAGGAAGCCCATGATGCTTCCAGACATGTTTGAGGAAGAGTCAGGCAATCCCAGCTGAGTCTACTGCTGTGACCGTGGGGATTGTGTGTATGTGCTTAGACAGGCAGTCCACCACCACTATGTCAGGGCACGTCTTCGGGTCGCTAGCATAAGTAGCGCAGTGCCACATGGCCCGTATCCCCATCAGGTTCTTCTTCTTTTCTGCTTCTGATCTTCTATTTGATCTGGTCACACGGTATTGGTTATGATGCCATGTGATCTTCTATCATCTTTGATCCGCTTCTACTGGTTATTAGTTAGTTGGCTAGTTACCATCTCTACCGTGTACATATATATCCCTTGCTGGCGTGGGCATGTCCCCCAGCTTTGCTATCAACTTGGTTTTGGGGGCATCCTTTGTTGCGAGCATGCACGACCCTGACACACTAGGATGGCATTGTAACCCTTTGACTCGGGGAGCTCTCCAATCATATCCATGGAGATTACCTGCCAGCGGGGACCTTGTTTGGCATGAGCTTCCCCACCTTCCACGAGGGGAATGACTGACTCGGTTGCAGGCATCACACCCCACCACATAACGGCCTACATACTCTGCCATCCGGGCCACCAGTAGTTGCAGGAGACGAGCTCTAGGGTTTTCCATTGCCCCAAGTGTCCCATCACCTGCATGTCGTGGTGTAGCCACACCAGGTCATGGCAAGAGTTGCAGGTCCTTCGGGACATGTGTACCTTCCCCCAGTAGAGGACCAGTTCTCCATCTCTGCTCCATTTGTCTGTCCTAAGGGTTCCATCTCCCAGTTCCTTCAGCGCTTTCACCACCTTCTCGTCACAGTCTTTTGCCACACGTATTCTTTCCAGGATGGCTGTTTCTTCTCCCTCCCTGTGACAGCCTCAGTCATGCAGGCTTTAAACCATTCTGGCTGTAGGAGGGTCAGGCTGTCATTGTCATCCTCCCCTTTGGGTGGTCAGTGCGGCAGGAAAGGGCATCTGGTTTCCCCATGAGCTTCCCTGGTCAGTGGATGAGGGTGAAGTGGAAGTGGGACAGAAATAGTGACCACCGTGCTTGGTGGCAATTCAGCCTCTGCACGGTGTGGAAGTAGCCTAGGTTGCGATGGTCCATGTAGATATCGACCTTCTCCTCAGCCCCTTCTGCGAAATGACACCACTCTTCTAGCGCTCGGACTATTGCGAGCATTTCTTTGTCGTAGATTTCATAGTTGCATTCTACTTCGGTGAAGCTTTTGGACATGAAGGCGATAGGGTGGAACTCGCTGTCAGTTTGGAGTTGGGACAGGATGGCACCAGTGGCAAAGTTGGAGGTGTTGCACTCGAGTTTGTAGCAGCCAGAGTCAGCAGGAAAAGCAAGGATGGGGGCAGAGGTGATGGCATCCTTGAGGGTGCTGAAGGCACGCTCCTCATTCTCCCCCCATGTCCAGGCCTTTGCTTTGTGGGTCAGGGCATGGAGTGGCTGTGCCATCTCAGAGTAGTCCTTGATGAAGCGACGGTAGAAGTTTACAAAGCCTAGGAAGGATTGTACCTCCT